AGCGGGCCTGGCCTAGGGAGGATTTTTAAATTGGGTTTTTTAGAAATTTTAATTATCACAACACAAAAATTTTGGTTTTAATTTGGTTTTATTCGGTGGGGTGTGTGGGTCTTTCTTTGTTTTAATAATGTTGTGAGCCGCCCTGAGTCCTTCGGGAGAAGGGCGGGATACAAATTGGAATAATAAATAAATAAATAAAAATACATTAAAAAGGAAGGTAGATTTTCACTCTTTTTGTTCAAACATGAGCCCTCCTCGGGAGTGTGATCCTATTTTCTCATTCACTAAAGCAAAAGATCAGGCTGCCAAGTTAGTGACATTTAAAGAATGCTTACTGTAAGATAAATACGACGGACTTTAGCCACCATACTTATCATGCTAAAATAAATGCTATATTGAAATGATGCTTCAAACAGGGTGTAATATCTAGAAATATTACCCTAGAACAGATATGTCAAACACAAGGCCCAGGGGCTGGATGCAGCCCGCAAAGTGGTTTCATGTGGCCCGCGAAGCCATCCTGGAAACAGTGAGGGAACGGCCCCTGCTGCCTTGGCCCTGGCCCAGGCCAGCCGGGAGCCAATGTACAATTTTGTGGTGGCCATCTATGCTGAAACGCATTCAGTGTTAGCTCCACAAGGCTGTCTAGAAACAGCGAGGAACCAGCCCCTGCCGCATCAGCCCCACCCCTTGGGTGCATGCTGGGGAGGTGTCACCCTTTGTGAGGAATGAAGAAATGCACCATCGCCTGGAAGTGGCCAGCAAATGGTCCTCGCCTACTTCACATATCTGGCTTGATGGGCTTCGGGGGAGGAATTTTGGCAGGTAGCGGGGTCCTCTCCTCACAGCGCCAGGCAGCGCAAATCCAAAAAGAAGTGCAAGGCCGCCCAGCTCCCAGCCTGCCCAGTTTTGGCAGGCAGCAGGGCGCTCTCCTCACAGAACCAAGAGCTGAGCCGGGTGGCGCAAATCTGATAAGATAAATCTGCTGCCTGGCCTGATGCGGGTGGAGCTGCGGAGCTGCGGAGGGCGGCCCAGGCACGGAGAGGCCTAGCGAGGCCTAGCGAAGCCCGGCCTGATGGCCTAGTGGCCAGGAAGATCTGCGGCCTGACGCGGCGGCGGCTTGGCGGCCCGATGCGGCGATGGCCTAGCGGCCCGACGCGGTGGCGGTTCGGCGGTCCGAGGAAGATCTGCGGCCCAGGGTTGTGGTGACCTAGCGGTTCGACACGGTGGCGGCCTGGCGCAGCCGCGGCCTAGTGGCCCAACGCGGTGGCGGCTCGGCGGTCCGAGGAAGATCTGCGGCCCGGGGTTGTGGCGACCTAGCGGCC